CTCCCCCGGGCCCCTCCCCCGGGCCCCCAGCCGGGGCAGAGCAGGTGGCGGCGCTGGAGCCGGGCGGGGTTTGAACTTGACTCCGCGGGACTTCGGTCCCGCCCCGCCGCCCCGCCCGGAGCCCTAACGGTCCTCCGGACACGGACCCTGCGCTGCCGGGCAACCGGGCCACCAAAACCGGGAGGGGGGACCCCCGACCGCAGAGCCCCGCTCGCCTGGCGGGCGTCAGGGGCGGCGGCGGCGGGGCCCCCGGGCTCAGGGACGGGCGGGGTTCGCGTTTGTGTGTTGGGGAGGATGCTGGGGGTGTGGACGGGGAGGCTGGGGTTCGGCCGTGAGACCCCCCTTTAGAAAGAGGCACCCAGTGCCCCCGCCCCCGAAAGGAGCAGCGTTGGTCTTTGTTCCCGGCCCGCCCGGAATAAACTCCAGATGCGCGGCCGCCGCCCGGCTCCCGTTTGGTTTTCTTCCAAGGCCGCAGATGGGCACCGCGCGGCCGGCGGCCTGGGGGTGTCGGCGGGCGGGAGCCCGGCCTGGGGGCCCGGGACACGGTGCCCAGCCCCCCTGGGGGCCGGGGGTCCCCCCCCGTCTCCCCCGCTCCAGAGCTTTTCTGGGGTGTCTCCCAGTCCCCTCAGAGCTGCGCTGGCTCTGGGGACAAATGGCTTTTGTCCCGTTGAGGTCTGTGTCCCCTCCACCCCCCAGAGGGGAAAGTGGAGGAAGCCCCAGCCCTGTGTGGCCGCAGAGGGCAGGAAGAGCGCAGCGGGCTGGGCCCCGCGCCTCAGTTTACCCCAGCTGGGAGGGCTTGTGTTTGGGGGGGAGGGCCTGCTCTCCAACAGTCAGGGGAACCCCATGGCCATCGCCCCCGCCCCCCAGCCCTGGGCACTGTAACCGACTCGGGATTCCCTCGAGGGGGGGGATCTGGGGTCACAGCCATGAGTCACCCGCCTCCGGAAGTGAATGAGTCACGGGGACCTCCCCTCCTCCTCTCGTCCCTTCCCTCGCTCCCACACCCCCATTCCGGACTCCTGAGATTGGGGGGGGCTTCGCCATTTCCCTGCTCCCCAGGTGGGCACAGGCTGCATGTCCCATCTTGGCATTCCCCAGCACCCCCCTTTGCGCCCCTCTTCAGTGCCCTTTTTTCTCTTTCCCGGACTCTGTCCCCCCCTCTGCCCCGCCTTCGGCTCCTCTCCAGCTCTGCGCCTGTCCCTCACTCTCTGGCCACTGGCAAGGCACGTCCTCATCTCTAAAGCTCCTCCATGGTGACTTGGGGCCCCCCAGGACCTGCTGTGGGTGTCCTGCTGCTCACAGTAACACAGGAGACACCCCTCCCTCAGCATGCACCCCGCTCAAAACCACAACTCCTGGGGGAGGGAGCTGGGGTGAAAGGTCACCCCTGTATCCCAGAGATGCAACAGTGATTGTGTCACCCAAGTCCCCAAGTTGGCATAGGAGAGGAGGGACCACCTGAGAACCTGTGGGGGCAAAATTTCTAAATACTTGTTCTGGAATCTTCCCTGCCCTGCCCTTCCCTTTTCTCTTCTTTGCTTTTTTCTCTTTGATACCAGTTCTAGAGCCTGAACTCAGGGCCTAGGTGCTGTCCTTGGAACTTTTTCCGTTCAAGGCTGGCGCTCTTGTCTCTTGAGCCACAGCTCAACTTCTAGCTTTTTGCTGGTTCATTGGAGATAAAGAGTCTCACAGACTTTCCTCCCCTGGCTGCCTTCCAATTACAATCCTCACATCTCAACCTCCTGAGTAACTAGGATGTCAAGTGTGAGCCGGAGACTCATACACACACTCTCTTCTTTTTTTTTCTTGTTTTTTTTGTCGGTCGTGGGGCTTGAACTCTGGGCCTGGGTGCTGTCCCTCAGCTCTTCAGCTCAAGGCGAGCGCTCTACCACTTGAGCTACAGCGCCACTTCTGGTTTTCTGGTGGTTTATTGGAGATAGGAGTCTCATGGTCTCTCCTGCCCGGGCTGGCTTTGAACCTCGATGCTCAGATCTCAGCCTCCTGAGTAGCTAGGATTACAGGCGTGAGCCACCAGCGCCCGGCTCACACTCTCTTCTTAATTTCTGAGATAAGTCTTTTTTTGTTGTTGGTGGTGGTGGTCGTGGGGCTTGAACTCTGGGCTTGGGCCACTGTCCCTGCACTCTTCAGCTCTTCAGCTCAAGGTGAGCTCTCTACTGCTTGAGCCACAGCACCACTTCTGTTTTCTAGTGGTTAATTGGAGATCAGAGTCTCACAGACTTTTCTGCCCAGGCTGGCTTTGAACTGTGATCTTCAGATCTCAGCCTCCTCGGTAGATAGGATGACAGGTGTGAGCCACCGGCCTCGGCCTGAGATGTCTTATTTTAAAAGTAGCCCAGGCTGGACTTGAACTTGGGTCTTCCTGCTGTGGCCTTATGAGGGCTGGGATTGTATGTGTGCATCACTATACCAGGTCACATGAGTTCTGCATTTGAGATGGACACAGAGCAAGCCTGGAGGGGAGGGTCAGCACCCCACCCCTCAGAGGCACCCTGACCCCTCCCCCGCTCCGTTGCAGTGCTGTGCACGGTGCTGAGTCTGTGTGGAGCTGCAGCCCAGAAACAAGAAGGTGAGCCTGCAGGGAGCACTCGGTCCCCACCTGGAGGCTGGGGGCAGCGTCCTCCCCGCGCCCCTCAGCCCAGGGAGGACACAGGGCCGCCCCCTCTTCCCCCTCCCCTGGGCCCTCCCTGGGATGGCGCTGGCCCCGCCCCTGCCCCGGCTCCTCACCTGGTCCCGTCCCTGCCTCAGGCTGTGCCAGGTGGTGTCCTCGGAACTCCAAGTGTCTCAGTGCCGACACCTGCCGCTGTGATGCGGGATTCAGTTCAGTGGAGGAGCTCATCACCAGCCCGGACGGCAGCTGTGACGGTACAGAGGCCTGGGGTGCTGGGCACACTGGGGGGGCTAGTCCTACGAGAGTGGGGGACACAGGTCACAGTTGGGGTCCATCCCTGAAGGAGAGAAAAGAAGGGGAGAAACAAGAAATCAATGTGCATGGCTTCCTGTGGAGAAAGGACCTGGGTGGCCAGGAGTCTGTGTCCATCTGCCCTCGAACTAGGAGAGAGAGGTGCTGAGCCTCCAGCCCATCCCCTACCCTGTCACTGTCCACTGTGTCTAAATCCTGCGCGTCACCCTGAGAATTCAGGGCAGAGCTGACTGATCAGCCTTCAGGAATGGCCTGCTCCAGGTGCAGCCCAGCTTCAGAGTGCAGCCCAAGATTCTTTCAAAAGCAAGATCAGCCCCAGTGCTGGGGGTCAGGTTGGGGATGGGGGAGTCTCCTTCCTGAGAGAACTCACACCTTTGGCCTGTGTGTTGCAGACATCAACGAGTGTGCACCACCTTTGAGGACGTACTGTGGGAAGTTTGCAGACTGTGAGAACACAGAAGGGAGCTACTACTGCACGTGCAGCCCAGGATACGCACTCGAGTCTGGGGACAAAATATTCAGGAACGAGAGTGAGAACACGTGTCAAGGTGAGACCCCACCCTCCTCCCCATCACCAAGCGCCTAGAGCGTGAGACGGGCTGGACAGGTGCACGCGCACCTGCACTGAGTGCACCTGCACTGCTTGTGCCCGATAGCGGGTTACCCAGCAAGCACTGCACAGGTGGGCATGGTGGTAATCCCGGCACTTGGAGGGCCAAGGCCAGAGCACTCGTTATTCCAAGTCAGGCTGGGCTAGCTGCAGAGGAGACAACTAGGGGCAGGGGACTTGCCTAGCAAGTGTGAGGACCTGGGTTCAATCCCCAGTGCTGCTAAATCAAAAACATTTTTGGTGTATGACATGCAATAAGATTCGTTGTGATTTTTTTGTTTTAAAAAAGAAGGAAGGGGGGCTGGGAAGGTAGCTCAGCGGTAGAGTGCATGCCTTGCAAGCATGAGGCCCTGGGTTCCATTCCTCAGCACCACATAAACAGAAAAAGCTGGAAGTGGCGCTGTGGCTCAAGTGGTAGAGCGCTAGCTTTGAGCTGAAGAGCTGAGGGACAGCGCCCAGGCCCAGAGTTCAGGCCCCACGACCAGCAAAAAAAAAAAAAAAAAAAAGAAGGAAGGATTGGGGAAGAGGGCCCCTAGATTTTAAGGGTAAAAGTAAAAGCAGTAGTCCAGGGGCATGCTCCGGGGCGGGGTGGGGCTCGGGAAGGGGCGTGGCTCCGGGGAGGGGCGTAGCTCCGGGAGGGGGCGTGGCTCGGGAAGGGGCGTGGCTCCAGGTAGCTGCTTGCCCGAGCGGGGCCAGGCCGGACCCCAGGACAGAACGAACAAAGTAGCCTTGTCGTTGGCCCCTTGTGTGACCTTTGACAAGTTACTTGACCTGTCAGGGCCTCAGTTTACCTGCTTGTAAAAGGGGAGCGACAGGACACTTCCTCCTGACACGCCTGGGAAGTCTCCCTTAGCGATGGCGTGCTGTTGGAATTGTGTGCTGGTTCTGCTCTTGTGTGATTTAAGCGCTGGTCAGGAAAGGGCTCTAGCGCCAGGCCACACCCCTTACTGCGGAGCCACGCCCACCACGGTTCCCGCCCCTACAGCCCCGCCCCACTAAGCCCGGCTCCACTAAAGCCACGCCCCCAACCGCTGGGCCAAGCTCCCGTGCATTGAGCGGACCGTCATCACTGAGCCACGCCCCTGCCAGTGGGCCAAGCGTTAAGGATGAGCCACACCCTGTCAGGGAACCCTAATTCCAACTGTGAGCCCCACCCCACCCGTGGCCACGCCCTATGGCTGGCCTGACCCAAGAACACGCCCACCTGGGGGTCACTGGTCAGCGCCTGTGAAGGAAGGAAGGACTGGGGAGGAGAGCCCGCTCCTGACCTGAGTGTCCTCCAATGCCTGGTCCCCAACTCTCGGAACCCCTCACCAAGGGCCACTTCTGGAAGTTCAAAAGCCCCCCTGCCAATTTGCGTCTCATTTGCACCAACTGAACGCGGGGCTGCATTCAGGATCCCGTCCTGGCCCGGGATCGCCTAGGCGCCGCCTCCGCCCCCGGGGCCCGCACGGGCTCAGCCTCACCGCGGACCCTCGCAGCCCCCCCTCCGCCCCCACCTCGATGGTCGCAGCCGGGAGACCCGGGACAAAGGAGACCAGAGGGGCGGCCACCCCAGGAGGGGCTTCCAGCACCCCCTCAGCTGCTGGCCCTCTACAGTTCCTGGTCCGGGTGACGGCGGCCTCGCAGCGGCCCCAGAGGGCGGTGGGCAGGTGACCCTGACCCGCACCTCACGGCTGAGTGAGGAGGAGGTTCCAGTCTGGACCCCAGAGCAAGAGGAAGAAAGGGAAGGTGCCGCGCGGACCTCTCCTGGCACGGAAGCTGATGGACTCGCCGAGTCCGGGTGGGAGTGAGGAGCAAGTGACACCAATGGCGCAGGCCTTGGGGGCCGCCCGTCCTCCCTGCCGGCTGCCCCCAGGCTCCTCCCCACCGTGCAGCCTCCGGGACGTCGGGGTCCAGTGGGCAAGAGAGAGTCGTCCTGCCCAGCCCCCAGCGTTCCGCCCCGTGGCATCAGGACACAGGTCGCCCCGGGCGTCCCGGTGCCTGGGGCCGCCGCCTTCGTCCGCACTGGGTTCCCGCGGGGCCTGGCCGGCCTTTGCTCCCCATCCACAGGCGCCCCGACACCCCAACACCCCTGCCCCAGATGGCGGCAGAGGTCACCTCTCACAGCAGGATCACCTCCATGGGAACGAGAGCCCAGAGGAGACCACAGAACCTTCCAGATGCCTGATTGCAGGAGACGGGCGGACCCCCAGCCTAGAGTCCGCCGCAACTGCGAGCCGCCTTCCCTGGCCTCGCACGCGTGGGCGATGGAGAGCCGGGCCCCGGGGCCTGCAGGGGCTGCACCCGAGCGGTGCTGGGGACCCAGGCCGGTCTGTCAGGCCGGGCCCAGGACTCAGATGCCAGGCAGCGCTCGGGGGGTGGCGTCTTTGCCACCTGGGGAAAGAACGCGTCGTTCCATTTCTGAGACGAGGACTTCAGCCACAGCCAGGACTGCCTCCGGCAGGAAGTCCAGCCCCATGACTCCGTTTCCCCCCTGGCATCAACTGTGCACCGAGCCCAGCAACCTGCTCGGCCCAAGTTCCCCGGGGCCACGTTCCTGGCGGAGGTGGTGACGCTGGAGGCCCCCGGGGGCCGGCACTGGCGACCTAGAAGCGGGGACGGTGACCGAGGGCCGCATCTGACCCTCGGACTTTGTCCTCAGACGTGAACGAATGCACCTCCGGCCACCACAACTGCCACAGCTCCGCCCATTGCCTCAACAAAGCCGGCGGGTATGAGTGCCGCTGCCGACGCGGCTGGAGGCCGATCCTGGGATCCCCCGAAGGCCCAACGCACACCCAGTGTGAAGGTCCGCAGCTTGCAGACTCCGCCACTCCAAGGGACGGGGCCGGACCACGCCCACCGCTTAGCCACGCCCATCGCAACCACGCCCGTTGGCTACACGCTCCGCTCCCATGCTTAACCACGCCCACGACTTGATGTTCCTCGCTTGGCCACGCCCCCTCATCTAATCGCGCCCCGCTTGGCCACACCCCGTGCGCCCTGGCTGGACCCGGATCCCGGGTCCCGGGTCCCGAGAAGAGCGGGCACCGGCCATGGGGAGACCGCAGGACCCGGGCCGCTGGTTACTAACCGGACGCGATTCCAGATGTCCCACGCTCCGTGCGCCCTGGCTAGACCTGGAGTCCCCGGGTCGCTGATTACGGACAGCGGACGCGAGGACATGATTCCCGATGTCCCAGGGCCCCGCGCCCTCCGCCGCCACTGCGGCTCCTCCGGCCCAGCGGCACCGCGACCACCTTGGGTTCCCGCGGGGCGGGGACGGGGTCGGGGTCTGAGCCGTTCCTGTCTCCGCAGACGTGGACGAGTGCCGCTCCGGACAGCACCAGTGCCACAGCTCCGCCGTCTGCGTCAACACCGTGGGGTCCTACAGGTGCCGCTGCCTCCCGGGCTGGCGGCCGCTGCCGGGGAAGACCGCGTGCTCAGGTACCCGAGCCCCGCCCCGCCCGCTCCCCGCACCCCGCCCCACCTGCTTCCCGTTCCCTGTCCACTCCCCGCGCCCCGCCCCGCACACCCAGACCCGTTCTGTCCCCGCAGAGGTCGTCTTCCCCACCTGGACGGCGCCCCCCGGAATCCACAGCACGGTGAGGGGCGCAGCGGGGTCGGGGTGGGGTGAGGCCCCTCGGCCGCCCCACGCACCCCGCGCGGGCCGGGCTCTGAGCGCCCCCTCTGCCCCCCAGGCTCTGGCCACCTTCTTGGAGGAGGTGCAGAATCTGACCAGAGACTTCCAGCCACACACAGCCCGGGACACAGCGGACGCCATCCAGGTGAGCAGGGCGTGGGGAGACCTGGGGGAGGGGTGGAGGGGTGCCCACTGCCAGCAATGGAGCAGGGCCCACATGCGTTGGTTCAGCCACACACTGGCAGTACATTGGTGGAGCATTTCACCTGGGGAGCGCCTGGTGGCACACACCTGTAGTTCCAGCTATTCAGAGACTATGGCAAGAGATTACTTCGGCCATGACTTTGAGGCCAGCCTAGACTTCGAGATACAAATAAGCTAGGCACTGGTGGCTCATGCCTGTCATCCCAGCTACTCAGGAGTCTGAGACGTGAGGATTGCAGTTTGATGTCAGGCGAGGCAGGAGATATCAGGCTGTGAGACTCATCTCCAATTAATGACCAAAAAGTCAAGTGGAGCTGTGGCTCAAGTGGTAGAGCACCAGCTTTGAGTGAAAAACCCAAGTGAGAGTATGAGGTCCTGAGTTCGAGGAGAAATGATTGTCTGGCACCTGCATTCTCTTGGTGTTTCGGGCGTGGACCGAGGCCTTCACACAGCCCTGTGATCCACTAACTCCGCTGCTCTGTCACCTGCCACCCGCCACCCCCAGAATCTCATCAAGGCTCTGGATGGGCTGCTGGAGGCTCCCGGGGACATGGAGAGGTTGGACCTGCCTGCTCGGCACCGCATTGCCACCCAGCTGCTCCTGGGCATGGAGGGCATGCTGAGGTCCCTGGCCCAGGCCTTGCCTGCAGGTTCTTTCAACTACACCTCCGACTCCAGCACAGGTGAGACTTCCTGTTGCCCAGCCACATCCTAGGCTCTATGGTTTGGGGTTGTGATGTATGTGTGTGGTCAGTTGTGGGGTTGAACTCAGGGCCTGGGCACTATCCCTGAGCCTCTTTGTACTCAAGGCTAGTACCTTGAACCACAGCGCCACTTCTGATTTTTGAGTGGTTTCTTGGAGATAAGGGTCTCACAGGGTCTGCCAGGCTGGCTTTGAACTGTGATCCTTAGATCTGAGCTTCCTGAGTAGCTAGGATGACGGGCGTGAGCCACTGGTGCCCGGCTAGACTCCTTTAGTTAACCTGGAGTGTCTGTGGTGCCCATGTCTCCTCAGCGTTGTTCCTGATGGTCCAGGAGCAGCAGCAGCAGCCGGCTGGTAACATCACCATCGGCCATGGCCAGGCCCAGATGACGCTCAGCTGGGCTGTAGCCACTGGAAATGAACCGTCTAGAAATGGTAGGGGTCCTCAGAGGGAGTCTCTCTGGGAGCGGGGTGCGATCTGGGAGGACCCAACAGCCATCAGGAGGGGCTGCAGACCCACGGTGGCTGAGCTGAGCCTGAACCGGGCTGCCCCAGGAGAGAGGCTGGGAGAGATTAAGGAAGAGCATAAGGAGAAAAGCCGGCATGTCTCATGTCTGTCCCCAGGCCCTACCGTGGCAGGCATCCTGTCCAGCCAGAACATGAAGAACTGGCTGACCAACACCTCCCTAGACCTGGAAGGGAGGCTGGCCTCGCTGGAGGAGACCTACGAGAGCCCTGTGCTGGGCGTACAGTTCAGATTTCTCTCCAGCATCAATTCTGTGTTTTTGACCAACACGAAGACAGGGGAACTCGCCTACCCAGTCACCTTCAACTTCTCACACTCCGTGAGTCCTGATGTTCAAGCCTACAGTCGGCAGGAAGGGAGCCCCACACCCTCCCTGTCCCTGCCTCCCCCCAATCTGCTCTGTCTGTTCAGACCTCAGGACCCTGGCACCGGTTGGGGCACCAACTGGGCTGCGCGTTCTCTGTATAAGTCAGTTCTTTATCTTTTATCTGCTTCCTGTCTTTGTCCAGGTGCCACCTTTTTTTTTTTTGGGTCGGTCGTGGGGCTTGAACTCTGGGCCTGGGCGCTGTTCCTCAGCTCTTCAGCTCAAGGGGAGCGCTCTACCACTTGAGCCACAGCACCACTTCTGGCTTTTTCTGCTTATGGGGTGCGGAGGAATCAAATCCTGGGCCTCGTGCATGCAAGGCAAGCGCTCTACCACTGAGCCACCTTCCCAGCCCAGGTGTCACCTTCTCACTGGACTGTCCAGTGTCTCTCTGTCTCTCATGCTTGTGTTGGTGCCTCATACTCCCAGTTTGCTTTTTTCACTCAAGCCTGCTGCTCTACCACTTGAACCATAGCTCGACTTGTTTGGCTTTTTTGATAGTTAACTGGAGATGAGTCTGGGCTGGATTTGAACTGTGATCTTTAGATCTCAGTCTCCTGAGTAGCTAGGCTTACAGGCGTGAGTTGCCAGTGTCCTGCTGCTCAGTAGGTATTCCTTTAGTTTGAAAAGTAGCCTGGACCTAAGGCTGGGGGCTCCAAGCAAACCTGTCTGACCAGCCCTGTGCAACCCACAGCGGGAGATGCCGGGGCCTCGGGATGAGGTCATCTGTGCTTTCTGGAAAGGGGAGGACGGCAACAGGAGTGGACACTGGTCCACAGAAGGCTGCCGGAAGGTGGACAGTAAAGATGGCATCACCATATGCCAGTGCCGGCACCTGAGCAGCTTCGCCATCCTCATGGCTCACTACCACATCCAGGTGAGCGAGGGCTGTCCCTGCCCCGTGGAGGCGCCTTCAAGTGACCCCACGCCCTTCCTGGTGAGGGGCCGGGGATGGGTGCAGCCTGTCTGTGTGCCAGGAGAGGACCCGGGAAAATAGGACCCGGTCTGGGGTGAGGGGACAGGGTCTGAGGATGTGGCGCCCAGCGCCTCCTCTTTGTCTCCCCCCGCCTTCCCCTAGGACCCGAGGCTGGCACTGATCACCAAGGTGGGGCTGTCGCTGTCCCTGGTCTGCCTGCTGCTCTGCATCCTCACCTTCCTGCTGGTACGCTCCATCCAGAGCTCGCGCACCACCGTGCACCTGCACCTGTGCCTCTGCCTCTTCGTGGGCTCCGCCTTGTTCCTGGCGGGCGTGGAGAACAACACCGAAGGCGGTCAGGACGTGACGCCCTGCCCGGCCTGCCAGGAGAGCTGGAGCCTCGAGGCCCCGCCCGTCCGGGGCTCCGGCCCCGCCCTCCCCGGCGAGGCCCCGCCCCCGCCGGTGGGGCTGCGCTGCCGCCTGGTGGCCGCGCTGCTGCACTACTGCTTCCTGGCCGCCTTCTGCTGGATGAGCCTGGAGGGCCTGGAGCTCTACTTCCTGGTGGTGCGCGTGTTCCGCGGCCAGGGCCTGCGCACGCGCTGGCAGTGCCTGCTGGGCTACGGCGTGCCGCTGCTCGTCGTGGCCGTGTCGGCCGCCGTCTACAGCGAGGGCTATGGCCGCCCCAGCTAGTGAGTGGCGGGCCCGGGGGCGAGGCTGGGCCCGGGGCGCTGGGGACCCGGGGGCTGAGGCCGCTTCTGCTCTTTCCAGCTGCTGGCTGAGCCTGAAGCGGGGCTTCCTCTGGAGCTTCGTGGGCCCGCTGGCCTTCATCATCCTGGTGAGCCGTGGACACGGACCCCTCCCACCCACCCCGCCCTCCTGCGCTGACCCCTCCCACCCCCGCCCTCCTGTGCTGACCCCTCCCACACCCCCTCCTCCCATCCCCTCCTGCGCTGACCCCTCCCAACCCCCCCCTCCTGCGCTGACCCTCGGTCCCTTCTCGCCCCCCAGTGCAATGCGGTCATCTTTGTGACCACCGTGTGGAAGCTCGCGCAGAAGTTCTCGGAGATCAACCCCGACATGAAGCGGCTGGGGAGGGCGCGCGTGCTCACGGTCACGGCCGTGGCGCAGCTCGTGGTGCTGGGCGGCACCTGGGTGTTCGGCCTGTTCCTCTTCGACCCGCACAGCATGCCGCTGTCCTACGCCTTCTCGCTGCTCTCCGGCCTGCAGGGGCTCTTCCTCTTCCTGCTGCTCTGCGTGCTCAACAAGAAGGTGCGGTGGCTAGGGGCGGGGCGGG